ATAAATTATTACACGACTCTTAAATATAAATGAAATAAACACTTTTAAAATAAATAACTTATTTTTAACTATCATAATTATTAATTTATAAATTTTAAAGAAACTTTAAAAGTTTAGCAAAAAAAATTGTAAGGAATATTTTTTAATTTTTTTTTTAATTTTGCATTGACTTTTTTCTAGATTTTGGTAGACAGAAAAAAATGTATAATACTAGGTAATAATTTAATTGTCTGTAAATTTTATTAATTAAATCAAGAATGTAAGTTAAATGTCCAAATACTTTGAGCCTCTTATTTAGTCCAATTTTGTTGTTGTTTTTGAAAAGGATTAAATGTCACAACTCAAAGAAATATAAATGAAAACTTTTATTAGGCTATTGGAATTTTATTGTTTTTAGGCCCTTCAGATCTTGATGCCCAAGGCAATGACGTAGTTTGCCTTGGGCCAAGGCCGAGCTTGGGTGGTAGGTGGTATAGGTTTAGATTTTGTATGGATTTTCAAGTTGAGTTGGGGTGGGTTGGGGAGAAGGGTGCAATTTGATTATTTTTTTATTTTAATTATTTTATGAGATAAAATATAAAGTTATCATTTTCATCTCGCCTATTTTGATTGAAAGTCGTCAATTTTTATTTTGGTGTTCAACTAACGGCATTTTAGATAGAAACCGTCCAAAAAGACCTCATCTGCAACGTTTGAAAAGTTTAGGGGTAACGATTGCAACAAATCAAATGTTTGAACAAAGTCTGATATTGTTTCAAAAGTTTGAGACTTTTGTTGCAATTATCCCTATAATATATGTATATATAATCATGTTCCCCACAACACCATCCTACCCAAATCCTTTTTCCAGTGAAGGCGACCAATGATTGGCCACCATCAACAATCACATAATCAGATTAATCAATATCAAAGCTAATTTCATTTACATCAAAAAATAATTGAGCCAACAAAAAGTCATACGTGACCTATGGTTGCATTCGGGTTATGGCCTAATTCAACTAATGAAGGTATATGTAACAAGTACGACATATTATAAAAAACCAGAGAAGCAAGGAAAAAATAGAGAAAACAGAGGAGTAGAAAAGAAAAGAGATGCTCTGCTTCAAGCTGTATTTTATTTAGACCTCAGTATTTTAACTGGAATCGAATCCCTCGAACCAAAATCGATAACCAATTAGGTTTGATTTGGTTCTTAGTTTCTGAACCAAGACTGTGGGGGTACCTTAATAGAACATATTTATTATAAAAAAAATTATTTACAATTTATAGGGTGAGTAAAAAAAACACAAAACCTAAAATTCCTAATTTGAGTAGTAATTTGTCCAAAACTCTAAATATAACCCTAATAAATCAAGACCGACTCCTATTTTTTTGTTTTTACATCACATGAGATTGTTGCATTTCAGAGGTTCGTACATGTTAATCTTTGCAATTTGGACTTTTTATGAATCAAAAAGTGAAAGCTAGGTTGTAGTGTAAGTTGATGAATCAAAGCATTCATTCTTTGCAATTCGAGATTTTTACTTTCTTGCATACTTTACAAAATCAAGTAATTTTTATTTTGTTTATAATGTGTGGCATATGGCGTGCTGTCGTAAGCCCCCAAAAATAGTCCTTAAACCTTTAAAACTAATG